CCGAGAGCCGGGGGCAGGGAAGTGTCAGTGCCACTGCAGCTCAGCGCACGATCTGGCTCACCCCTCCCCGACGCCGTCCCTGGTCAGCTGTCCACTGGCAGTGTCCATGGGTAGAGGAAACCAGCCTTCACTCTGTTACTCCCGGGTGAGTGAATCACCCTCTCTGGGCCTCGCTTTCCCATCTGGGAAGTGGGCAGTGAGCCGGCCCCCAGGTTGGGTAGGGTGCTCCAGCTGCCCGGTCTGCCGCTGACAGCAGCAGTGTCCCTCTACCAGGGCTGCGGGGTGGCGGAAGGACAGAGGGACAAAGCATGGACGCAGGGCTGGGCCCCAAGTCGCATGAGTTTTCCCCACCCCTCCACGCTGGGCCTCCCCATCTCCCGAGGAAGGCAGCCCTGGCCCCTGCCTCACCGTTGGCACAGCCTCGCGGCCGAGCTCCCCGGGTAGGCGCCCTCTGAAGGTCAGCCTTGACGCGGGGCCGGCCCAGCCCCCGGTCCCTCTGCAGAGCGTCCAGGACGTCACCGACCGAGTTCACCAGGTGAGCCATATGGCCTTGGCTCTCGGAGAGAAGCTGCGAGGCACAGGGCGGTCAGAGGGGCAGGCACCGGGTCCCAATGGGCCCCATCCCGAGGAGCAGGTGGGCTCCTGATGCCACAGCAGCCCGCCCAGCTTGGCCCTGGGGCCTATCTGAGGAGTCAGCTGAGCTCAGGGACCTCGAGGCTCAGAGGGCCAGGGCCGGGCAGGAGGGGACAGGGTGACTCTAGTGGGCCCCAGGCATCCCTGCTCTCTTAGGCTCTGTCCTTTGGCCATTTCTGGGGGTTCAGCCCAGGTGAGCTGGACTGGAGCAGGGCAGGCTGCAGGAGGCAGCCCCTGGCATCGGGCAGCCCCAGGTTCCAGCCTGCTCGTCCGTTTACTGGCCCTGTGAGCGGGTGTGCCACAGCCATGCCTCACCTCCCCGCTGGGAGGCAGGCTCCTCACCTCCAGGCCACGCTGCCTGCTATGCTGCTGGTGACTGCACGTGGCGAGCACCGGAGGGAGATCCCCAAGCTGCAGGCCGCCTCCCCCCACCCCATGTGCCCACAGCCTCACCAGGCACACAGAGTACTGAGATGTAGAACTCAGGTTGCCTTGTTACAAATGGGGAAACTGAAGCCAGAGGAGAGGTCCCTGTAGTGAGCAACCTCATGGGGACCAGGACTCAACTCCTTCCCAGGGCTTTGTCACTCTGCAGCCAGCCTGGTGGGGTGGGAGGGCATGGCTCGGACCAGGCTCTGCCTCTGCTTCCCTCCCCAGCTTACTAGCTTTGTGTCTCTGGAAGAGACCGTAAACCCGAAGAATGAGATCTATTTTCAGGGTGGGGCTCATGGGAAGCTGCCTCGGGCCTTAGTGGCTGGTAGGGGTCTCTGTTTCTTCTTCCGCTCACCCTCCGTGGATCATAGGCCATGGCCCTGGAGCCCAACCAGGGCAGCGTGGGTCCCTCAGGCCTCTCCTGCCTGGAGGCTCTGGGCAGTTGCGTCCCAGCCTGGCTCCAGAAGGCTGTAGGAGGGAGACCCAGGCAGCCTGGACACCGGGCTGCTGCTTGCCAGAGAATGGCCCATCCGCGGAAGGGACAGAGGAATAGACGGCATGGCCGTTGACACAACAGGAGTCTCCGCTCCTCTGGGGCAGGGGCCCTGTGAAGCTTCTCGCTTCCCTGTCAGTTTCCTCTGCTGGGGGTGGGGGGAGGGCTGTGGCTTGGGGACAGAGGAGCCGCCCGGGGGGGGACC